CGAAAGCAGTTCTCAAGGCAAAAAGCACTGAACTTGGAATACGTGCGCGTGGACAGCACGCTACAACGATCGAGGCCAGAAATGGCATCCTACGCCATTTACTTCACGTCATGAAGGCTGAACCCAGTAGGTTGGACATGCCTCTTGTGTTCACCCGACTACTGCACGAAGCCTTGTTCGCCACCAACGCGTTCACCTTCTATGACGAGGTGTCTCCATGCAGCGCTCTATTTGGACTGCAACCAGCAATGCTCCCTGACCTTCCTGTTCTGGACCACGAGCAGCCGACGGAAACATCAGATCATTCTCGTGAACAGACGATACGCAGGGTATGTATTGAAGCTATCACACAGGCCACAGCAGTAGCTAAGATCAATCGTGCCTTACGCACTAAGACGACAGTTACCAGTCAGCATTATTATGACGAAGGAGACCTGGTCGACTATCATCGCCCTACGACCAGGAAGGATGACTGGGGAAGCTGGAATGGCCCGTTCCCAGTTGTGGAGAACGATCCCGACAAAGGGGTCAGGTCATCATCCGAGTGGGCAATCGAGATGTTCAAGTACAATGCGGCGATGCAAGGCATTCATTATACCTTGAATCACTCATAGCCCGAGAAATTGGCTCCGACAACACTGCGCTACGCACAGTGTTGACATTCGTAGCCAGCCTATCAGCGGGAAGACCTGCTTTGATTTTTGGCTATGTGCCGACCAAGAAAGGGACGCTTCAGATGACGATCGCAAGCCGTCTGTCCCCTAAGGTACATTTGGCCCCACAGTATCTTATCAGAAACGTCCTTCGCATTGAGAATGTAGTTTCAGTCAGATTAGCCAAGAGTCCATGAGCTACCTCCGCTTACTTATGCCGACAGCTGCACATTGGTTCGTTACGACAACGACGTGAATCCAGGATTTCATTACTACGAAGCAGAAGGTACGGCTCTGGATATACATGATACAACTGGATCAGCACATTCACGAATCATCCAATGCCTGAAGTCCATTCAATCTCAAGCAGGTTTTGATCCGGACATGTCAGAATTTGAGGAATTGGCTGATGCGCCGACACCGGATGGAACCGCAAGAGAAGCTTCAGAAGCCGAACCAGCACATGATGACGGACTGCTCTCTGCGATTTACGAAGAATCAGAAGCTGATCTTGAGTCGCATGTTATGGAGGTGTGGTATGCAGAACTACAAGAGGAAAGGGAATTGTTGGTGGCAGCTCCACCAGAGGACCTCTTTACCATACCTACACAGATGGTTCCATATCAGAGAGTGCTGATCATTGTAGCTTTTGAACAGCGGGGGCACCTGCCGAAGTGGGGACGCACTCGCGACTCCGATACCGAGGAGACGCACTACGCCCCCATGTGCACCATGGTCGAAGACGACAGCTACGGACTCCACTCAGACGAAAATGGTCCATACGTTGAACTATGATTTACGACAGAAATGTCGAAGGTAGTCTTGTCCGAGCAGCAACGCATGATATTCGATGCCGACCGGGTGACTACTATGCGAGTATGCATTACCGCCGCTGCAGAGCGAGCTGTGGTCGTCACGGAAGACGACCTCCTCGCTAGAGCTGACATCCAGGCGAATCCCGATAAAGTATCGAAGGCCCTCTTCACTGAGCTCAAGACATGGTTCGACAACACGTGCTTCTATATGCAGGAAATAGCCAAAGCGTCGAACATCATGACTTTCAGATACGTGTGCACATGGGAATTCGTGAAGAACGAGAAGGGCGAGATGGAACGTACAATCCGACTACGCTTGGTCCTCCGAGGCTTCATGAACCTTGGTTTCCAACGTAGAAGCCTTTTCGGGAACAGCAAGACGGTCAAGCCAGAGGTTATTCGCTAGCACGGCAGCGTGCAAGAAACAGTGGATCATTGCTTACCTCGACTTCAGCATGGCCTGCCTGAAGGGATTGACCTATCAGGAACTTGCTGAGGCTGCTGGTGAAAAGGAACGTGTGGTGTGTTTTTCTTTGCCGCCTGGATCGGCCACTGCGCTCCGTGCTCTTCCAGGTTTCGAGCACTACGACGAGTCGAAGCGCTGCTGCAGTGCTTAAAGCCGGGCACAGGCGCTACAGACGATCCACGGGCTTTCTCACTTAAGCCCAGAAGAACCACCAGAGGATTTGGCCTCCGACCCACGTCCTGCGACGAGGACTTCGAGACGAGCAATATCTTGCTCACGGCCAAGCATGTTAATGACATTAATATTGCCGGTATTGAGGACACCATTGACAAATATGTCAGATGCGTTGAATATACTTTCGGTAAGTGTAGATTCAGCAAGCACACATGTACCATCTGTGCTGTGAGATACACCAAGGACGAGGACGGCAATGTTACTTTGGATCAATATGATTATATATCAAACAGCTCCGTCCAATACCACATCCCGAACTAACTGGCGCCGACGCTTACGCTCAAGCAACCAAGATGGTGGCAGACATGTTCGTCAGTCTCAGGGGTGCGCTGGCACGCGCACTTATCACACAGGTGTGGTTAATGGTGTATGTTGTATCTCTACAACGTGTCCAAGAACCGACCAACATTCAAGTGCGACGACTGAACGCGATCACCAGAAAGTTTCAGGCCTGCCCGAAGAAGATCGTCTACCAGGCGATGAACCCCACGGGCGAGGTCGACTTACATAGCGACTCAGGATATCGACGCCTGAGTGGAGACGCCGATGACGACGTCAAAGGCTATGGTTTTCGCGGGGCAAACCTGCTACTACGTGGAAACACGTTATCTGGTAAGCCTTCGTTCACTTGATTGATGCGTACTGCAAGTCGCACCGCTTGCAGGTCCGCTCGAGTTATTCAGCAAAGACACTAGCAGCCGCCCGTAAGTTGGATGATTGTTATCCCGCGATTGTGACTCTGCACGAGCTCCACGCGGGGCCGCTCACGTCACTCAGTTGAAAGATATACTTGAGTTGGGTGGCCTGAGCATCAAACTCTCTCTGACCATCGATGCAGAGTCTATTTTTTATGTCCTTGTCAAGCAAAGACTTGAAGAAGCCGACTGGGTGTACCCTTTAGGACACAGCAGTTGGATACGACAGATGATGGAGCGTGGAATCGTGCACAACATTCAGTGGTGTGATACCCGCGATATGACTGCATATGGCCACACCAAAGGGAGCATCGACAGAGAAATGCTCTCACAAGTCATGGGAGGTATACAGACCTGCAAGCATGACCTGAGGAGACATTCTCCATATCGGGCCGGCCAGACATCAATTTCTGACGCCGCCTGATAAGTACGTCATACACATGCGAGGCAACTTGCTAGCGGGCCCACCTTCCTTTGGGCCCGTTCCTTTCTGTCCTTGTGTAGGTTAGCTGCTATGCCTGCTGTGTAGGGGCGACGGGCTCACGCTTCCCTCCCCCCGGCTAAAGCGAGCTGAGGGACGTAAGGGGTGGAAGCGAGCGTGCGCCCGCGGCCGCGTCGGCTCAAGCGGCCGGCCGCCCAACTTTGACTGTGCCTCACTGCGAGGCACACAATCGCTATCGAGGCCAAAGGGATCTTCTTATTGCTTGAGATGGCATCTCTTCTCATACTTGGACTATCGTGACTACGGTACAACAGAGCGGGAGCTTGGCTTCGCCTGAGGCGAAGCTGTTGGCTGGGCTTCCCAAGCCCCGTCAAACTGGAGGAACATGGGAGGTACAGATCCAGGTCGTAGCAAAAGGTTGCTCAAGCACGCGCTCGGCTGTCAGTTCAACAACGCAGTTTTCGCCTAGATTCGGCATACCCTACTAGTCAGGGACTATGTTATCCCGTCCCTCTCTTCCTTGCCTCTTCTCGGCCTTCTTTCTTCCTTTATAGTTGCTTTCCCAGCCTTGGAGGTTGGTGTTGTAGCCAGCCGCTACAAGAAAAAGGCTGCAAGAGCGGTCCTGAAATCTTCAACGGGCAGGTGAACTTGTGTTTCGCCGAAGCGCAATCCTCGTGCCCATCTGCCACCTCCTCCTCTTCATCCTCCTCCTCGTCGTCGTCCTCCTCCTCCTCCTCCTCCTTCTCGTCCTGTCCCCCTGCAGTGAAGCAAGAGCCCTTCCCCCTTTGCGTTCGCGTGTCACACGATGGGGTCGTTTTGGGGATCAAGTTCTTCAGGGCGCCCCAGTCGGTGGATACACACTGTTACACCACAGTGGGAATGGATGGGTGGAAAACGTAGGATTCCAGATGTGGTGCGAGCGCGACTATCATGCCCCCTCTCCCTCCTCCCTTTTTTCCCTGCTCCCCCTCCCACCTCTTTCCCTTGTGTACCCCTCCTCTTTCCTCTTTCTCCCTCCTTCCCCTGCCCCCCCATCCCCTTCCTCTTTCTCTCCATCATGCCCTCCATTTGCGTTTCTCCCCGCCCTGCTCCACCTAAGTGCCCCGCCCAGCCCCCCCCTCCCCGGATCGAACCTTCCCCACTTCCCTGCCCCTCCGCTTCCCCCGCGTCCACCTCGCTACCCCCTCCCCCTCTCGCCCTCCCCTCCTTTTGGTCGTCCCTTCTATTCTTCTCACGAGTGGTCTGAGGATAACGATGAGGTGGGGGGGGGAATGGGAGGAGGAGAAGGAGAAGGAACACACACAGGACAATGAGAAGGCATATGGGGGAAGGTGAGGAGGAGGAGGGGGAGGAAGAGGAGGAATAGGAGGATGATGAGGAGGAAGAGGAGTACGTTGATGAGGATGGGAAGGGCCAGAAGTGATGAGGATGATAGCTATGATGGGTGAGACAGGCATGAGGATGATTGCGAGTATGCCGGTGTTGCAGATGACGAACATTGATGCTGAGATGGGGCGATGACGTTGAGGACGATGACAAGGGGTGATGACCAGGACCTGAGGGGAGGACTATGATGATTATGAGAAGGATTATGATGACGAGTGCTGAGGAGGACACTGGGATGAGGACGAGGAGGACGAGTTCCTTGTTGCTGTTCTACCGACTCCCTCGATGTGCAGCCCCGTCGCCCTCCAGGTACTTGAGCAAGTTCGGCTACGGGATCGGCACGGTCGCGCCGTGTCCCTTTACCTTTACGCTTCTGGGGAGGAGCATGGAGAGGGAGGGGGACAAGCATGGGGTGGGGAGGGAGACAGAGAACGAGGAGGATCAGAGTTCCGTTGGCCGTAGCGGTTGAAGCCCTCCCGCAGCTTTGGCAGCTGGGCCTGTCTTCTCTTTTCCTGCTCTTCACGTTCCCCCTCTTCTTCCTCCGCTCCGGGTCCAGCGCCGCCCCATAGGCCAGTCCCAGACGTGCCCACACGAACGAGGCCCATGACGCGCCCATGCGCCAGAATGCGTTCCCGTCCCCATCTCAGGACCTTCTGAATAGATGGCAAATTGGTCTGCCCAATTTTGGCAGTCATGTCTGTTGCTTCGAGGCACGCTGGCGCGAGGTCTTCGCCGAAGCACACACATTCCTCTCCGCTCCATCCTCCCAGCTCCCATTTCCGTGCGCACTGCATCCAGCTGCCTGCTCCTCTGCCCAGTGTCTTTTGACCCCCTCCATCGTCCCTCGCCCGTCCGCCGTCCCCTCTCCCTCCTCGCATATCCTCTCTCCCTCTCCCCTGGTCCTCTCCTGGCTACCTTCCTCCCTCCTGTCTCCTTTCGCCCTGAACCCCCGTCGCCACTCGCTCCTCGACCCCCCTTCACAGTAGCTCCTCGCTCCTCGACCCTCCTTCCCCATCGCTCCTCGCTCCTCGACACTCCTCCCCCATCGCCCTCCTTCCCCACCGCTCCTCCCCCCTCGACCCTCCTTCCCCCTCCACCCCCTTGGCAGGGCGAGTTCCAGGTCCGACTCCAGCTCGTGCAGCCCAAGACGCTCGTGGATGACAAGACCGCCAGGCTACTCGCCCGCCCTCCATCGTTCGTGAGCGGGGGGAGAGGGAGGGGGGAAGGGAGGAGGAGGCGGAGGGAGGAGGAGGAGGAGGAGGCGGAGGAGGAGGGGGAGGAGGAGGAGGAGGAGGAGGAGGAGGAGGAGGAGGAGGAGGGACGGAGGGAGGGAGGGAGGGAGGGAGGGATGGAGGGGGGGAGGGGGGGAAGGAGGGAGGGAGGGAAGGAGGGGAGGAGGAGGAGGAGGAGGAGGTGCAGGAGCAGGAGCAGGAGCAGGAGCAGGAGCAGGAGGAGGAGGAGGAGCAGGAGGAGGAGGAGGAGGAGCAGGAGGAGAAGGAAGAGGAGGAGGAGGAGGAGAAGGGGAGGATGAGGAGGAGAAGGAGGAGGAAGAGGAGGAGGATTAGTGATGAGGAGGGCGACACGGTCACCATCAGCCAAAACAAGCATCGTCTTGCTGTGGTGCAACTTAGGAGGAGGCGGAGGAGGGCATGGGGCACGAAGTACAGGATGGGGGGGAGGGGGGGGGGTCTGGATGCCCGTTCTTTAGAGTGGTTGTCCCTCCCCTCCGCTCGCTCCTCCTCCCTTCCCTCTCCACCCTCCTACATCTTCCTTCTCCCTCTCCTCCTTCGGCCTCCCTCCCCCTTTCCCTCCTCCAGGTGGCTCTTCTCGGGGCAATGTGCGGGCCCGCCGCATGTCGCAGCCCCCCGCCGCAAGCCCTGCTCAAGGGCGAAGGTGATCTTCTCCACTCTTGCCGCACATCTTCAGCTGGATGCCGGGTCCGAGGAGCATTGGCCCAGGCCATAGTCTTGTGTTCGCGGGCAGCAGTGCGAAACGCCACGATCTGGCTGGAAAGAAGTCTAGCTTTGATCTTGCAGCTGATTCGCACAAGGACAAGCTGATGGCGGCCCCCTACGTTCTGGAAGCGCCTGTGAGGTGGAAGGTCGGGCGTCGTGGGGCTCTTCTCGGGCCTTTCGTTGCCTTCTTGTGGGCCTTTTGGGGCTCGGTGGGACCACCTCGGAGATCCTGGGCCGTCTTAGGATGCTCTCGGGCCGTCTGGCAGCCTCAGAGGCTGGGGGCCTATCTGGACTGTCTTGGGGACTTCTTTGGCCTCTTTCGGACCGTCTTGAGACTCCCTTCGGGCCCTCCTGGCCGTCTTGGGGTTGCTTTGGGACCGTCTTGGAGCAGTGTTGTGCCGTCTCGAGGTCCTCTTGAGGGTCTCTTGGGACGTCGAGGGCTTTCGGACGCTCGAATAGGCGAGACCGCGAAAACAATTGAAACACCCAGGGCAAATCAGATTTTTGGCCTCCTGGGGGCCTCCTGGGGGCTTCCTGGAGGTTGGAGCCCTCTGGGGGCGACTTGGGGGCCTCTTGGGCTGTCTTGAGGCCATCTTGGGCCATACTGGGGCTAGCTTAGGCCGTCCTGAGGGCGTCTTGCGGGTGTCTTGGGGCCGTCTTGGAGCCATTTTGGATGGAACAGCCCACGGGATATTGGCTTTGCGTGCGGCCGCGGGTTGAGCTTTCTGCCCATCCCGCCATCGTGCTTTGGTTGGGGGCCAGGATCCTCTTGGAAGTGTCTTGGGATCTCTTGGGAGGCCTCTTGAGGGCTTCTTGGAGGCCCCTTGGGGCGCTTGGGGACCTCTTGGGGGGCC